GCTTGGCCAGGTCGTCTGCAGTGTATCAGGCTGGGAGCTGGGTGGTGTTGCTGGCGCCACGTGCTGCAGGGTGGTACTTCTCCTGACACTGAGCAGCCACCTGCTTTTTTTTCTTATGAGGCCATAATTTAGAGCTAAGCCCTCAGAGCTGTGTGGGATCAATGCTGGGGAGCTGTTCCATCACGGAGCAGGCAGCAACCTTCCTGTGCCTGGCTATAAGTGCCCCTTGCCCCCACAGGTAGCTGTCATTAGTGGCCCCCACTCAGTGGTCTACACCACCAGGCTACATGCACACATGAGCAGTGGATGTGCCAGGCTCCATCCCCTCCCTGTGACCTCAGTATCTGTGCCTGGGCTCCACATATAGTGAGAGCTTACCCTCCAGGGTCAGGCTTCATACCCTGCAATGCATACGACACCCTAGCAAGATCCATGCCTGCCAACCCGCTCTTTGCACAGCCCAGCGGTAACCTGCCCATTGCCCCAGCACCCTCCTCAGTGCAGGCATCTGCTTTGCTTTCAGCCTGCCAGTACAGTCAGCAGGGGGAGTATGAGTGTATTGCCCCCTGTGGAGGCAGGGGCCTATGCCAGTGGTTCTTGGCTTTTTTAGGCTCAAGGCTCTCCTCAGGAAATACTGGCCCTGAGCTTTCTCTCGTCTTTTGACTATGGGGAAAAATACCAGAGCAATTCTTCCGTCGCAAAGAACTCAGTCTCCAACAGAGCAGAATGGTTTTGACACTGGGATCCTGTTTGAAATATACCTGCTTTAGCTGTGGCAGGTTGGGGTGATTAGGTCTTGTGTAATGTCTGGGTTGACAGTAATCTTACAAAGAGTTTTGATTATGGATTGAATAGGATGGGTTGGATAGGAATGATCCTGCCTCAGTCAAAGGGTTGGCCTAGAAGTTACCTTTGGGGGCCCCTCACAGCCTGACTTCTCTATGATTCTATGAAATCTCTGATTTTATCTTGCAAATCGTGCAGGTGTGTTTTGTATATCTAACAGGGCTAATTTTTGCAAATCACACTTAAAAGGAGCTCATGGCACCCCGTACCTCCCTAGTTGAGAATCACTGGCCTAGGCAATCTCTACCAGTGCTTTCTAAATGCAGAGTAGCAGAGAGGTTAACCACATGGCCAGCCTGTTTCAGTCCAGTGGAGTGACAGGAGACCAGTGCTGTTTCCCCTTGGCCCCACTGTGGTCTGCTCTTCCCCTGGTGGGCTTGTTCCCCAAAGCTGTATTTCTCGTTTCTTCTCCCCCAAAGTGAAGCAGGGAAGGATCTCGTGCAGAGGAGTCCCTGAGGGGTTCTCGCTGAGGGCACGAGCTGGTGCTCATGGGGCCTGGTATGCAGTACCACTGGACTGACCCTGGGCTGACACTCTTTCCTCCTCACAGGAAGGTTGCCTGGCCATGAAGCCGAGACTGCTGGTGCCATCATGGCTTTCTTCCTGTCCCTGGGCCTGGCGCTAGGAGCCATCTTCTCTTTCCTTTTCCGAGCGCTGGTTTGAGTGTGGACTTGGAGAGACACTGCTTGGCTTGGTGACGTGCCTCTCTTGCCGGATCCCGGAGGGGGCAGGGCAGGCGTCTCCTGTCTGGATTTCCATGGATTCTTGCCACCTTTGCAAACATTCTGCAGAATTTCAGTGTCTCCCTCACCCTGCAGATATGGCTCGAGTGCCCCTAGCCCTGCCTTCCCTCATGCCCTGCCACGTGTCACCTCTTGGCCTGTATGCCCTCTACTTTCCCCATGCCATGTGCTTGAGACCCTTGCTCCTTCCATCTCCAGCCCTCTCCCCTTCTCTCCAGTGCTGGTTGACTCCCCTTGCCAGAATCCCTCTCCAAACCCCAGTCGCTTGCCTGCATAGCAGGGATCTGGAAGCTATGTACAGCATCATTACCCCTTCCTCCCCCAAAGCAGGTTCATTTGCAGAGCCCCATCCCTAGCCAGTGAGAGGAGAGGAGCCTTGCAGACTGTACAGCCCTAACCACTATCTCAGAACACATGCACTCCCTCCATGGTTGTAGAGACTGAGTTTTACAGCTACTCTTGGCTCCAACCCAGCAGCTCCCTCATAGGTATTGTTACCCATATAACAGCTTGGGCAGCAAGCCAGAGCTGGGAACAGAGCCCTGCTCTCTGGCATCACAGTCAAATGCCTTAATTTGAGGACCTTCCTTCCTGTCTTTCTGCCTTGGCCTGTTGCCTGGCATGCGCTCCTCCTGGTGACTGATACCTGAGCAGATTCTGCTTCCTGCAGCTCAGGCTTCTGCCCCAATAGCACCTCTGCCTTCCAAGAGTGGAGCAGGAGTTGTCCCTGCTGGGTGCACTGGAACGAGTGAGGCTAGGGCTCTGGCTGCAGGGGGAGTACTGAGGCATCACTGCCATAGACCAGCTCAGACTCCATGAGGCCTTTCTTACCCCCACCACACTGCAGGCAGGGGCCAGGTGTTAGCCCCAGCCCCACTTATGTCTGTAAATTTATCTGTATAGATGCTGTTTTATATACAAAGACTGAACGTGCCCTTCTGTAGATCACTGCCTCTGATGTTGCTGCCCTTAGGGAGGGGGAGAGCATGTGGGCTATAGCCTTGCCAAGGGCTGGGCCTCAGTGTATCCTGAGGGAGAACAGCATGGAGATGCTTCACAGGCTACCCAGAGTGGCTGCCTAGCCCGTACTCTGCTTGCTCCTGCAGTCTGTTTCCAGGCTGGTTGGCAGGGCTCCATGGACAAAGGAGTGGGGATGTGTAGCTGAGGGATCTCATCCATCCCCTGGGGACAGACCCCAGGCAGGAAGTGCAAAGGAGTGGTGCCCTCTTCCATGGGCTGTCTTGCTGGGGAGGGACTGATGGGAGGGAGTGGGAGAAGTGACCGAGTGCTGGGAACTTACTGCCAGGCTGAGGAGGCCATGTCTGTGTGCTGGAGATCCCCTGAGGGTGGTAGAGTGCTGGTGTGCTGGCTGTTCTGCCTTTCCAATCACACCTGAATTTCCTTGAGTAGCAGCCCTGGGACCTATGCTGGAGGAGTGCAATGACCACCTGCAGCAAGTGCAGCTGTACCTACTACACATTACCCCTCAAAGGGCCCTCAGGCCTGGCCTGGTCTAGCTGCAGCTTCCTCAGAGGCACATTCTCCCAGTTCCCATTCCTTCCCAAAGTGGCATCCCAGTCAGACCCCAACACATGCACATCCCTGCTAACCTGTGCTCAGCCCAGCCCTCTGATCCACAGATCACCTGCAACCCATATCTGGGTTAGTTGCCTGCCTAGGACACAAACTAGAGTAGAAATGCTAGGAGGGGAGCCACTCTGCCCTCTCCAGGAGCTGGTGTTTCATATGAACTCAAGCACCCTGAGTGCCAGCATCCCAGCCACGGGTAAACCCCCTTTGTATCGTGATGCAAATATTTAGCCTAATACATCTTGTTGTGTTTGTTAGCTTGTTTTACTTGGCAGTTGGCTACCTGCTGGAGCATGTTGACTGATGGATACGTGCCCTGCATTACATGGATCTCAGCTCCCAGCCCAGCTGCTTGGTTTGCGTCCAAATCACACATCCGACCAGTAGTGGAGTCTTGAATGGCCCAGGGGATGGCTGTGCCTTGATCCTGCCTCTAGGGCAGCATGACCTCTGGTAGCTTGCGTTTCCAATCCTAGCTCCTAGTCTAGGGTTGCCTGCTAAGGCGGGAGGCCTGGAAATGAGCATTGTCTTTTATCTACCTGTCCTGTGCACAGCAACATACCTCAACCCAGCCCCAGAGAGCATTCAGTCTCAGGAGCAATTCTGAAGGACTGTCAGCCAGCAGGTGACTTCAGTATTGGGTTTCTGATGAGCTTGGGGCTAAAGCTGGCTTGAGACACCCAACCTGAACCTACAACCCACCAACCAGCCACCTGATGGTAGTTACTGATGGCCTCTACTGACCTGAGCTGCCATCTCAGCCCTAGGCTCCCCAGACCCAGCTCTGCCAGTTCCCTTCCCTCTACCATGGCCCCTACTTTTCCCATCCTTGGATTCCTCCTCTACTTGGGCCCTTGTATCCTGGTGTACATTGGGCTTTGTATGCCACTCACTGCCAGACTGGTTGGTGAGCATGAGCTCACTGGCCAGGATTGTACCCACAGCTGCATTAGCCAGTCACTCAGCCATGGCCCTTATGCCAGAAAGGTTGTCTCCCCATGCAAGGAAACAAGGGCCCAGTGTTTAAGGGGAGTGGTTGCTGAGTGGGAGGAAGGGATGTGTGTCAGACAACCACCTCAGCGTCCCATTTCCCTTTCAGCCCTCATTCCCCCCCACTCACCGGCCACATGGTCATGAGACGTATGAACAGCCTGGCTGGAGACAGGGCATCCAAGTTGGCAGAGGGACCTCCTGCAAGGCAGCCTTTGCCCATGGGGTGAGGATATGCTGGTACCTCTGCAGTTCTCATCAGTCACACCTTGGAGGAGGAGGGGAAGGGCTTGGGGTCACAAAGGAGCTGACAGCAATACTCCAGTCCCTCCCACCTACCCCACTACTGGAAGCAGGGTCTCTCCAGCAATGCCCCCACCTAGAAGGCCACCGCAGCACAGAGACTGGCATTCAGACAGCACAGGTTCTTACAAGTTGGCCCCAGTGCTCAGATGTTCTTATGACACGGGTGGGCCACCTCAGTTGGTCATAGTTGCTTCTTACCCTCCCTAGACCCCACCTTGCCTGAGCTGCCCCTGTGGGATGGAGTCAGACTTGCTAGCAAACCCCACAAGCTGGAGGTAAGGCAGATATTCTCCCTGTGGCCAGAGGTTTTTGGAGCAGGAGGCTCCAAGTCCTGTTACCATTACTTCCTGAGGGTCCATGGGGAGCTGAGGAGCAACCCCTGACCAGTCCTGGGGGCCAGGGATTTGTTACAGCTGAGTCTGCAGTAGGGCAGTCATGGCTTTGCCCAGTCAGTGGGGATGGGAACTAAACTGGATCCTGGCTTCCTTCCCTGCTTGGGCTGATTCTGGCTGCACCAGGCTCACCCACCTTTGCCAAGCCCTGTTGGAGGGGAATGCACACCAGCCACGATGGAGACGCAGACTGTGGCAGGAAGGTGGGAGATCTTGATCCCTGAAACTTAGAGCCATTGGTGTGCCGTCTCAGGGCCTTGGGCTCAGAGCCCCTCTTGCAGGCCTGGTGTGTTGTGAGCACTGGACCATGCATGCTGGGGCTGCTAGGCAGGGCAAACACCTCTTGCACAGGATCACGACACTAAATGGAGTCATGAGGGTGTGGGAAGGGCCCTAGAGCCACAGCTGATCCCATTCAAGGACACTTACTTGGCATGCCAAGCTGTGTTGCCAAAAGGCAGGTCCCTTCTTGGTGGGGAAGGTGGAAACCTCACAGCACTGCCAGTCCTTCCCCAAGGCAAGCAGGAGCTGGCCCTAGCAGGATGGGAGTGAAGGGGCAGCTGGATCCTGGATCAGATAGCTCTTCTCCCTCCCCAGGTTTGTCCTGGGTATGGGTTTAAGGTTGCAAAAAAAACCCCAGGAGAGGAAGAGGCACTGCAGGACAGCCAGGGCACACAAACAAAGGCAGCGATAAGTAAGGAAAGAACGAGGTACTATGATTAGAACAGGGCTGACTGGGAGCCAGGACTCCTAGGTTCCACTCCCACTTTTGTACTTATTTAGCACCTCCGTGGGAGGCTCTCAACTGCTCTAAACACCAGTTTTGCACCCATGCAGTTAAACCAGTGCACACCCGAATCACCCATGGACACTCTCCAACCAGCAAATCCCACACTGGGGGGACAGTGCCAAATCCTGTACAGCACTGACACCCACGCGCTGAGGTTCTGCCCTCTCCAGACTTTCCAGAGTGACCAGCACCTCCCGGCTGTGCACATATGGCCCTATGGTCCAGACAGGGGAGTGACATCCTGCAGCAAGTTGGCAAGAGCCAGCAACAGACCCAGCAGCCCTCATCCCAGCCCCAGCATGGTACCATGTGCCCCTTCCTTCGGAGCCCTTGCAATCCTAGAGAAGCCGGGCTGGGAGGGACCTCCAGAGGCCATCTAGTCCAGCCCCCTGCCTCAGGCTGGATCTTCCAGGTGCCCTGGGGCTGGGTCCTGGCCCCTAGCATCCTTGCAGAGCTCCAGCACATCATAACGGTGGGATGACAAGGGGCTGCATCTCCCCCCCCCGGGACAGCTCCTGCCTTGGCAGCATCCCACATCCAAGCAGCCTGTTCCCTCCCAGTAGCTCCAGCTCAGAGCTGGGAGGGGGTGGGGGGAGGCTGTAACGTGCCAAGAGCACAGCCGCAGCTCCCCCATCTGTGATGCAGGCTCTTGCGCCCGCCCTGCCTGTCATCCCTAGCTCTGGGGAGCTGGTCCTAGCCCAGAGCTCCTCCTGCCGGTGCTGCACAGCAGGCACTGGGCTCTTGCAGTAGCCGGCCGCGGCTTGCCCAGAAGCTCGCTGGGGGAGTGGCTGGGAGGGGGCAGGGCTCCTCCACGAGGGGGGAGGAGGAGGAGGCCTAGCAGGAAGCAAGTCATAGTCACAGCACAGGCCAGAGCAGCCGTCCTGCTCCTCCGCCAACAGCTCAGGAAATAGTCCCCACCTCCCTTTCCCCCGCAGGCTGCCTGCTCCTCCCGGCCCCCTGCTGCACCAGTGACTCTGCAAATCCCAAGGAAGGCGGAAATGTGCCGAGCAAGCCTCAGCCAATGAAGCAAGGCAACCCACGCACCTCTGGGTGCATCACTTCCGCTCCCAGTGACTCTGCGTCCCCCCCCCATGTGTCTGTGACAGGACCCCCCCCCAGCAAACGCGCAAGCGGCCCCAAGGCAATCTGAGCCTCTGCTCCGCTGCTGTTGGCCAAGGGGCCTGCCTGCAAGGGCAGGTGCAAGAGGCACTTGGTACAGCACTACCTGTGCCTGCCCTAGAGGCAGGAGAAACCCCCCCCTCCCCCCAGCTCCCCTGACAGGGTGTACAGCACAAAAGCAACTTCCCCTTCCAGGCTGAGGAAGGGAATTCATGGGGAAGGTTCCCTGAAAGCTGGCGGAGTCCGAGGGCTTCGGCAAGCCCTTTGGCTGCATCAGGGAGCTGGGGATGTTGGCTTTAGGGGCAGCCTGTGCAGCCCCAAGTCTTCAGGGTCCAGCACCAGGAAGCATCCCTCTAGAGCCCTGCAGCGCCCTCTGCAACTAAGGCTGCACTTCTCCATTGCAGGTTTGCCTTCAAATTAAGTGAGAAAGGCCACGTGGGGCCCACACACCACAGGCTGGCTTAGGCAACAAGGTTGGAGGCACCCAGGGGGCACCTGTCCCCCAGCTTGAAATACTTGGCAGAATACAGCAGGAGAGCAAGGAAGAGGAGTTGTATTTCTAGGCAGGGAATTAGCAGGGGAAGGTTACGTTCATGTTGTAAAACAACTTGCGCTCAGCAAGATGAGTCTGGCACCGACACGGGGTTTCAAGCTCCAGGCCTGGCAGGGGTTTCTGTTTTGGGGACCAAATTCACTGTGCTGCCCCAGGGAGTGGGGTGTCTGTTCCCGGCAGACATAGAAGTGTTCAGTCCTTTGTTTTTTGCCTCTACAGCTAAAGGTACTTTTAAAATAAAATTAGTACAGAGCATACCTGAACCTGAAAGCTTGCTTAATAATTGTTTTCCAACTATTTAAGTTGGTCTAATAAAAGATATCAGATTCACCCAAAGAACCTTGTCTGCCTATGTCCTTAGACCAACACGGCTACAACCTACACCCCTGTACAGAGCATACCTGGCATTTGTGAGGCTTTGGCATGATTTTGGGCACTCATATTTAACAACTAATCCTTAATTTAGAGAATGTGGGTGCTTGTATTTTATATCAAATCCTTAATTACTTGGCCTTGTCTTTCACCCCCCCCCCCAGAGGAAAGCAAAGGGCTTGTCTATATTAGCAATCTAATCCCTGGTTCTCTCTCTGCTCAGACAGGGTGCGCTCCATTTGACTAACTTCAGTGCCTGAGAAAAAAAAGGCTTGAGTTAAATGGTTGTAACCCCTTGGTGTGGTACCATTATAACAATGAATACTATGGTGAAGATGTTAATTATACCACTAGAAATGTTTTTCCAACACAAAGGATTCTTTTTTTTTCTGATGAGGTTAAATTGGTATAAACACGGAGAGAAAACCGTCACTGTGTACCTTAAAAATGATATCATTACCCACTTGCTGCAAGTGTGGTGTAGATGCACTTGAACTGTTTACACTAGATTTTGAAAAATTATCAGCCTAGATTAAACTAGTTTGTGCTGAAGGTACCTACCTCTAAGAAGGTTTTGATCTGAGCTCAGTGGCTTCCAGATAGTCACTTCCAGCAGTGCAAAAAGCTAAGTGTGGCTCATCCCTGAGGAGTGCAGTGATCATGGGGTATTCAGGGAAAAATGCATTGTTATGGCTTTCTGCCATTTGAACCTCTCCTGCATCTTCTGAATAATGAAACTACTTCCCACAAAGGGGATAGGAAGATAATCCCCATTCTTTTTCCATATGTGGAATATGAAGCCATAAGCTTGCACACCGTCCCTGGGGTCTTTGAAGAAGCAGCTGAGGGTGTTTTGCCCTCTGTTACACCTTTTGTTCTGGAAAAAAAGGAAAATGGAAGTAGGGGGTGCTCTGTAGGACACCCCACCTCTAAATGTACAGGGATAAGCTTCACTGCAGTTGGATCATTTTTTCTTTTCTTCTAACTATGTACATACCCAGAGATTGCACTAATTTAGCTCTACCTGCTTCTAAGCTGGTATAATTGTGGCATCACAAAAATGCCGTGGAGACCAGCTCCAAATGCAACACCTTAACCCAGGCTAGGGAAACTGGAGCTCCCAGACCCAAACCTAAACCTGGTGAGACAGTGCAGTTCCTGGGAGTAACTTCTTACCATGGCTTGCTCCATGGACCCCACAGGGCCCAGCATGGAGCACTACTGCCCAGGCTACAGGGACATGATCTCTTATGCTATCTCTCACCTCATGACCCTCACACACATTGTTGCAGGGCAGCACAGCTTCAACAGGGCAGATGGGGGTTATTCTGTTTGGAAGCATCCTAAGTGGTCAGCCAAGTGGTCAAAGCACTCTTACAGGAAGCACAAGATGTAGGTTTGAATCGCTTCCAGCTGAGAAGGGAGGTGAACCCAGGTCTCCTACTTTCCAAGGTGAGTGCTATAATTACTGGGTAAGAAGGCAAAAAAAGTGGGTGAGGGGGTATGGCGGCATTGCTTTGTCTAACTGTTTTTAAAAAGACAAATGAGCCTTGCTCAGCTCTGGGAAAAAAAGGGCACTTCCCATCCAGAGCTGGTTCCAGGCTACGGATGCCAAGTGGATGGCGTCACCTCCTGCAGCCTGGCTAAGGGGCTGGTTCCAGGAAGCTGCTGACTTGAGGATACTGATGTGATTCTGTTTCCAGACTTGTGTGCAAGGGCTCCTTGGTATCCCCCCCCGCATGGGTCTGCTGCTGCCCAGTGAGCCTCCCTCTGGGCTTGGGGTTTCATGCCGCAGGGCAGGCACCTACATGTTGGAGAATGGGTGCCTACCACCATGTCCCTAGGTCGGTTGTTCCAGCGGTTTATTTAGCTTCCTTCCAGTCTGAATAGGTCTAGCCTCCCCTTCCAGCCACTGAATCTCATTATCCTTTGGTCTGCTCGACTGAAGAGCTGTGTGCTACTGGAAATCTCTTCCCCGTGTAGTCCTCAGTTGTAGGTGGAGACTGAGTTGGCTCTGAGTGCCCAGGCTTAGCATCCAGACAGCTCATCATTGTTGCAGCCCTCTCCTCAACCCTTTTCATTTTCTCCGCATCCTTCTTCATTAGCATTTACACTCTGTGACCCAGAACATAACCACCTTTAAAGCTAGTCAGTACAGGCTCCAGTGAGGTTTTGTTTTCTATCACTGGGTGGGGGGTGGGGAGAAGGAGGAGAGAAGAGGGTTGTTATTAACATGATGCCATCTGGGATAAAGAAACCTATGGTCTCACCACGGCTACCATTCTATTAACTAAACCAGTGGACTTTTCAAATAATAATAATATATCTATTGGACAAGACCTGCTGATCCAAGGCATGCTGAAGATGGGAGGTTCTTGGCAGTGCTGGTTGGAGCTGTGGTGCGAGGGCCTGGGGAAGGGCGATCTTTAGAAATCTTTGGGTAAGCAGTTGCTTGTGGTCGCCTGGACTCAATGCCACATTGATTGCCATGAGGTCTGCTGACAGCAGGGTAGAGATGCACTGTAGGCCCCCTGCTACATGTTACCTATATCATGCAATTATAACTGGTGAATCACGCAAGAAGTGTAAAGTAATTATCACGCCATAAAGAGTGTCCATGCAGCTATAGAGAGCCAACTGGCTGCAGACTTAGCGAGTGAAAATGTGTAACAACTTTGTGGCTGGTTTCTATCCAGCTTTCATTTGAACATGTGGGCCCTTACAGACTAACTAAATCAGATATGTATATCTAGAGAGAGAGAGAGATCAATAGAGAGAGAGTGAGAGAGAGAGAGATGTCTGATTTAGTTAGTCTGTAAGGGCCCACATGTTCAAATGAAAGCTGGCTCTCTCTCTACATCTAGCATAAGCTTTCCTGAACCGGAGCTCACTTCATTAGACATAGTTAATCAGACTGGAAAGCTCGCCCTCTCCATACAGCCCACGGGAAGCAGCTCCATATGATTTCTGCCCCGGTTCAGGCTAGCCCGGCTGGCGGGCATGCCCTCCGCTGAAGGATGAGCTCCCTCCCGGCTCAGTCTCGAGGGGACTTCAGCGCCCAGCCCCCGAGTGGCGGGAGAGGGGGGTACCGAGCACGGACCCCGCTCGCCGGGCGGCAGGAGCCCCTTTAAGGCGGAGGGAGCCGAGGGCCGGGCCGGCCGGGTGCAGCCCCTATATAGGGCGGGCGGGGGCGATCGCGCGCTCTCTCCGGCGCTTCCAC